CGCGGCGAACAAGAAGAAAAGTGTCTGGATTTTTTGGCCAGATTGGAAAAAAATGCACACGGACTTTTGGTTCCTTCTCATCTCCTTTTTCTTCTACCCCTCGTCGAAGACCGGTCTCTATGGTTCCTTCGCTTGAAGAAGTGAAGCAAGAACAAAGTGGTGATGGTAGGTGTAGTGTTGACAATGGGTTAGCATTTGAAAATGAGGCTGAATTTGTTGGGAGTCATCCTAATCAGCTCAAATCAAGTTCTTCTTCTCCCGTTTTTCGTGTTCCTGTTGCGCCACCGCGACGAAATCGTACAGTTCGTTGCTCTACTGTCTCTTTAGATACCGGAGTCAATGCTTGTTCACGGCCCAACCGTTAGTCTTTGTCTTGTAAAGCCAGTTCTTCACTTCTTTTCTTTTCTTAGAGCGAATTTCTGTTATTTCAGTTTCTTTTGTTGGCTTGTTTGGGCCCAAATCCACCCCAAAACCTCTTTTGGAGTTTTCACTTTGGATTTAATTTTTCTTGGTTTTTTTTTTTTTGCAGAGGAAGGAATGTTAGACCTGATTGCCAATTTGCAAGGTCGACGGATGGAGGAGCAACGTGCAGTGCTTAACGGTCAGGAGACTGAAAGTGCAAGGTCCACTAAATTATATTTAGTAATTATGTCTTCTAGTATCAGCAAGCTTTTTCTAATGCTATTCTTTCTGAATCAGTTTTAGCCAGAGTAAAGAATTGGAAGTTTTGGAAGATGCAGGGCAGTTATACGACTTGGTGATACGCAGCCAAGGTGATCGGTTAGACGAACAGCGAAGCGAGTTGAGTGTTACAAAACCAGATGAAGATGTTTCCGAAATAGTATTAAACATGCAGAAAGGAAGGATAGAGGGACAGAGAGCCAGTTTGGAGCCAAAAACTTAGTGTAGCCTGTGTTTACAACATTTATTCATTTTTCGGTAATACTTTCGTGCATTCTTTAAAGTGATGTTTTTTTGGAAGTTCTAGAAGAAGTTTTTTGGTGTGGTTGCGATTTTCACGAAGGATAAATTATATCTTCTAGTATTAAATTTGTTAATTTATTCTTTGATTTTGGATTAGTAGCTTCTTTGGTTTCGCCCCGTAGATTAGGCATTATTTGTATTTGAATTTGGGTATAGTCTTGCTAACAGTTATGAGAGCTCTCTGAGCTTCTCTTAAGGAGTAGAGGTGGAGGTTTGGTGAAAAAGAAAGGACTATTCTGTTACGGGGAAACGGTTGGCTTGTGAACATTTAATATTTCAAGAGAATTTTTATCTTCAGATTGAGCCAAGGTTCTAGTTGGTTGGCAGTTGCCTCTTTTTATTTATTTGTCTTGAACTCCTTAGCAGAAGAATTAAGCCTATTTCTTTCGCAACTGTATCTGATATGCCAGCTCTTGGTTTGATTTGATATTCAAATTGTTGTTCATCAACTGTTTAATAAACATTGCGTTTTGTCGCTGTTGCCCGGCTAATGGAAGCGTATCTGACACATTAAAAGTGGGGGTGTAGGTGGGAGCGTGAAGCCACTTTAGAGAGAGCTTTTATGGCATTCAATGTTGTCGAGTTCTGTTGCTGATTTGGTCTGAGAAAATTAGCCTCTGAACCATCCGCTCAAATAGAATTTTTGGAGTAGTAGACGCTGAGTGTGGCTATAGTTTTGCCAAACATTATACTCTTTGGTGCGGTAAGAGGAGAAGGTGAGTTTGCGGGCCAGTTTTTATGTTTTTGCGTCGTGGTGGATATCAGTTGGTTGAGGCTGGGTGTGAGTCGATTGAATTTGACGGTTTACGACAATTTGACATAGTATTTTCGGCTCGCTAATGCCAAATAACCAATTTTGATCAACTGTAGAACAGGTCAGAACCTCTGGTAGTAGATGAGAACCAATTCCAACAGGAGAATCACAAAAAAAGACATATTCTTTGGTTGTTCCAAGTTTTAGATGACGAGATTGATCATTCTAATCCGCTGTGACCGATACCAAAAAAATTTGTTCAGTTTTGCAATAAAAGTTGATTGAGATTAGTTGATCTGGGTTTTTGTGGCGCTGGAAGTTTACAGGCGTGAGGAAAGGCGTTCATTAGATGAAAATCTTTAAGTGACATATTAACACTACAAATGAACTAGAAGAGTTTGAAAGGGACAAGGGTTTCAACTCACCGTCAATACAAAAGCGAATTCAAAAACGCGAGCTGCCAAAGTTTTGAAAAATTTTCAAAAAGAGTCTTGGTTGGGTTGATGTTAATATTCCCAGCCTGTCTTCCACGGTGTAAGTCCTAAACGTACGGAAGTTTACAGTAAAAAGTAGTAATTTGCGCTAGACTAAATTCCAATTTCAAATAGGTGTCATACTTTTCGAAGCAACCCTGGGTAGATTGGGTTCAAATATTCTGCATGATACTTCTCATGCTGAAGTTGACTTAAAAAAGACTGTGGTTTTCTCTGAAATTCTTCTTTGTGTTTCTTTTCATAAATATTACTTCTGGCCCATTTTCGAACTTATTTTCAAGCATTGACTACAGATAAGAGCGCTGTTTGAGAAATTTTAACTTGTTTTGCAAACCACTCATGTTTTCTCCAGTGAAGCTTAAATCATTTCTATATGCTTTTACTTGTTTCCATTCTCTCTACTTCTTCATAGAAGTAGCGCTAATCAGCCAGCCTAAAAAGCACATTATCCTAATTATCCTACGGGAACTGTACTGTTGAAGAACGAGGTGTTTTTCTGCTTAAAACTGCAGTATGGAACTACCGACGAGCAGGCAAAAAAACCCAAAAAGCACGCTAATGCTATTAACCGATTCAAAAGATGATATGGTTTTAAGTAAGAATGTGGATTTTCTGTTAACATGCTTATTATCAGCAACATATTAGCTGCGTTCCAGTTGTCGACTTCAAACCGTTATGATTGTATTTCTGTTACTTTACATTAGCAAGAGGAAATATGCTCTGCTTAACAATTTTACAGAAAACACCTTTATTATTGTCAACGATAGAACGGAAGTGCAAAAACGCTTCAAAAGCAACAGTTATAAGAAAGAACGCCAAAAGCATGCAAAATATTGAGGTGCTAGAATTTAGCTAACCCAAGCACTTTCTGCTGTAAAAGAATGTATGAAAGAAGGTGATTATATGCCACATTTCTGACACAGCACGAAGCTGTTTAACATAAAAGTTTTACACTGCCATAGTTCCTATTTTCAGACCTTCTTTATTAACTGTAGTTGGAAATAAGCACGCATTTGAAAATTTTTTGAATCAATACGAAGAATTAATTGTGTATTGGGATTTATATATGAGGAGATAAACTTATATATGCTACGATTCACTGATTAATCAAATACCTGTAAAGTGCTTTACAAAAGTAGTACATTTTATCGTTCTTGAAAAAATAATAACAGGCTCAACAACCTTTTTTCGTTCCTCTAAGCTGGATGATGTAGATTAAACTTTCTATTAAAATCCCAGCCTTTCGCCCAATATTCAGAGCAAGTTTTGCACCGTTTTAAATTTTCCGTTCCGTTTTTTATTCAGTTGGTCACTACACATCGTCCATAATAACTTTACCAAGTAGAAGAAAATTTGAAAAGGGACTTTCCACAACAAATACTGTAAACGACCATGCATTTACGCTGCATTTGGAAGTGCTTCAAGTTTACCACCATCAGTTCGGTGGAATTATTTATTGGTTGTTTCAAAACCGACACAGTTTTATTCACTTTCTTCTCAATGTTGTTTTATAACTGGAATTTTTAGAGTACTTCTGCATTAAACATATTATAGAGTATTTGCTTTTGACCCTTTGTTCTTATGATTTTACCTGCTTTCATTGCAATAATGACACATAGTTTTTTTTAACTGTCATTTGACTCAATAATTTATGGGTCTTTCGAATGACCATCTTTCTTTACGTATAGCTGGTTTACATAATTATTTGCATATAATGGCATCCAATTTCTTCAACGTCGATTTAGTTAATTATTGGTCTCCTGTCTTCTTTTCTTGTAACTAATTTTATAACGTGGTTGTTACTCGTCAGCAAGCAAGGTTCATTGTAGATTTCTGCTGCGTAGATAGCTGTGGGTTCAGTTTTGATAAATTTCTGTCGCTGTTTTGCGTAATCTGTATGCTCTTTAAGATAAACATTTATATAATAGAATGCAACAAAATATGGTCTTTCTCAACTGCATCCTAACACTTTTCTGGCGTTATTAAGTTCAAATCGTTCACTTTTGTATTGCGTATATGCAATTAATTGAGGACTGTAAGACAAAACACGTTGACGCACAACGATAAATAAAATCAAGAAAACGAGGTAAAACGAATGATAAAGCAAAGTTTTGCTTTCGATTTTTACAGATCAGTACAAAAAACATTTTTTAGCACTAAGAAACGGAAATAAAAGAAGTGTACCAGAGTAATTTCTTCTTCCGCAAATTAAAAAAAACTAATATAACCAAGCTGCCTCTATCCAACTTGTCTTCAAAAACCCAGAGTAGCAGATTTGAGTTTGGCAAGAATTACAAATTCAGAAAGAATAACAATTACACATTCATTAAACATCAACGAAAGCGGTGATAACAATCCCTTTCGTTTCGTCTGTTTCGAGATTTGAGTCCTTCAAATGCCCAGAGTGACTTCTGGCACCTCCAAGTTGCCCGAAACTTTGGTAAGAGTTTGTGGCTTTAAATCCGATATTAAAACTTTCTTTATTCTAAAATTTTAGCAATTTTTGTGAAACACTTCAAAGTTATACAGCAATCACTTTCTAGTTTCAGACATTGTCAGTAATCTTTTGGTTAAAAAAACATAGAAAATTTGAAAACAAATTATATAGGTCTTTTTCTCAAAAAGTTTTTGCTTGATCAAAAAAAATTCTTGTAAATAGTAAAAAACACTAAAATCCTTGACTTAGTTTCCAAAATAAAGTCAATATATACAGCTTCTTAAGATTCTTATTTTGTTCAAGGAAAATATTGAAGTTAACCAGAACCTGTCAGTCAAAGTGGAGAGAGAGCTTTTATTAGAATTTCATAGCTACAGCAAACGTTTATCAAAACCACCTTCTGGCTTAGAAACATTTTTATTTTTCCTTAATGCTTTGACTTTTACAAAACTTTTCAATAAAAAAAGTATTTTCTTTAAAAAAGAGGTTAAACTGACTTACTTGGTTATCATTTCGTGTAGAAAAAGCTAAGAAAAATTTGTTTTTGTGTTTGAACTTGCAAGCTAAGCTGTCAGATTCAAATGTCCTTTTGCCAAAATCTTGATTTTGAACTGTCACGTCAAACTTCTTTCGGTAATCTTTTTCTATTAATTCTTTAATGACCTGAAATATAATCAAGATGAATAAATGCTTTACCTTTAGTTTTCCCAAAAAAATTTGGATTGAAATATTCAAAAAAAATAAGTGAAATTGAAATTTTCTCAATTTTACAGTACCACAAGGCAAACGTGAATAGTTATTTCTAAGTCGACAAGCTAAAAAATGTAAACTTACTGGTTTTTAAATGCTGTAAGAGAACAGCAGATGAATATTTTAATTTTTTTTTTGTGTCCAAAGGTTTAAATTTGATGAGGCATAGAAGTTATTTATCAAAATTCAATGCTTTTTTGAGGGTGAATAGTTTGTCAACTCTACACCCACGTTTTTCTTAAAATATCTTCTCTCTGCTGACATTAAATGACAGTGAGAAGCGTTTAACAGACCCCAACTACGAATGACAGCGCTAAATTGAAAAAGTGCTGGAGAATGTAACTGGATTTTCTATATATATACCATGGGATATTACATCACGTTAAAAATACTTAGTTTTTAAGAGCTATTTTTATTTTATAGCAAATAATTGCGTTATTTTTCTGCTTAATACTTTTAGACGTTAGGCTTCTTCGATAGCGCAAAGAAAATTCCCCTTCAAATTACCTTTGCAGCTGTCTCATCATCTGGTATAATATCAGACTTTTCAGCGCTCAACAAATCGTAGGCGTCATTTATCAATACTCGCAGTTTTTCATCGCAACAGTCAACACCTACAACAAGAATAGCACGGTTACTTTTTAATCGAGAAGTATACTTCAGCAATTTCAGAATTCTCCAACACAGTGACAACAACGCAGGTTTTTGGACCTTTTTCAGCGTAGCTTTTAGCGCTGGGCAAAGACACATCTATACCAAATCCGTAAGTGTCCGGAATCTTTAACATCAGCTTCACAGAAGATGTGTTACTTTTAAAGAACAATCTTTATTTACTGTGAAATCGTACTTCCTACTTTGCCCTTAAAACACTAATTTATTCTTCCTTTTAACTATTAAAATTAGTTCTAAATCGCCGAAGATTTAAAGGGCAAAGTATTTAAAGATTTAAAGATTTAAAGATTTAAAAAGTCAATGATGGCCGTAATTGAACAAGTAATTGTTAAAAAGCTATAGCAAGAAAAAAGTGATTTTTGAAAAAAGCCGGTGTAAAAAATAGGGACTTATTACTATTAGATTCAGCAGACACTGGGACTACAGAAAAGTTAATGTAGAGTAAAAAAACGTCGAATCTTACAAACTGCTTTTTTAAAACATATTATATGTAGCGGCATTAAACTGTGGAAAAAAATTAATTGCAAAATTGGAAAAATTTAAAAGTCAGAAAAATGAATTTTGAAACTGTGTTCCGCTAAATAAGTTTTTTTTACTGTATAAATTTTTGTTAAAAAGAGCATTACCATCTTTGATTTTGTTGCAGAGTTTTGATAAATTGTTGTCATCAATGCTGGAAACAAACGGTGGATACTTTGAAAGGTTATTGCTGATCCGTAGCAGCCTTTTCTCTGCCTCAATTCTGCTGTCTTTTGAAGCTAAATTTGAAGTTTTTTTTATTTCAGAAGCATTTATATTGAACTAATAAAAATTTTTTAAGTTCTTCTGACCAGTCCGTTTCTTAACTCAATAATACAAAAAAAAAAAAAAAAAAAAAATGTATCTTATTAGGAATTTAGATGTGCTTACCAAAGTCAGCTCTTTTTGCATCTCCAGTTAACATTCCGTAATTACCCAAGCGCCTCTAAAATTAAATAAATTAGCTGATTGTAAAAAAATATAGCAAAATCTAATTCATTTGAGTGAACTCCACATAAAACTCAAAAACAAAACAGTTGAAATACTCTTTCAACGGCATATTGACTCGGAAACACTGTTTGAAAAATCCACTAACAAATCGGCAAAAGTGCGTTACATCAAACCAGCAATTCCTGTGATACTCCAAATGTCGACATTTGCAAAAGTAAAGATGCTAATACAACCTGGTATTTCGAGTATAACTGTTGCTGCTGCCACTGTTTCTGTTGTTGTTGTTGTTGTTGTTGTTGTTGTTGTTGT